TGCTGTAAATAAAGGCAAAAATTCGTTCAAGAACCCCGATTAAGCTTCTAAGGAATTCCGCAATGATCTTGGACACAGTTTGAAAGCCATCATCTTCAGCTGTTTCAGAGATGGAACAGCGCTGGAGATGTTATGGTGGGATCTGACTGGTATAACCCTGTTTCTGTGTGCAATTAATAACTGGATAATATTTTAGTTCACTCCCCATAATTTGTTTGTCCTAATTAGGTTCTCTGATACTTGCTAAAGCTTTAATGGCTGTTTCTCAGTGGGGGCCTAAAGTCTTTTTAAAAAAATTAATCATATAAAGACAGGCTGGATATACTACTGTCTTGCTACCAAAATGATCCTGCAGAAAAGCACTAGGGGTAGGGGTAGCATATGTTGACTAATGTTTGAGAGCAGAGACATTTATTTTTGTTATTTATTCATTTTACAAACTGCTGTATTTCTTTCTGTGTATAAAATAGACAAAGCCGTCATGGTAGCAAACAATAATGCCATGCCATTGTAACTGTGACCCTGGTGCAGTTATGCCAGTGTAAGGGCCAGAATTGGGTTGCCAGAGGGATGGGGGGGGTAGGGTAGCCAGATCCAGGTTGGGAAACTCCTGGAGATTTGGGGGTGGAGCCTGGGGAGGACAGGGACTAATCTCTGTAGTCTGGAGATGAGCTGGGATTCGGGGGGGGGGGCCTCTGCATCCCCACCTGGAGGCTGGCATCACTAGTTAGGATCCTAAACTCTTTCTGTCCAAAGTTCTGTCTCTTATATCTGCGTCACAAATCTTAGTATTGTTGCACAGCTGTGTCTCTGTGTTAATAAAATTCAGCAGATAGTGGAGCTTCTCCACCTCCTGCTCAGCTGTCTTCACACCGGGATCCTCACGAGGAGAAGGCTCAGAGTCCTCCGTTGCCTGGATAATTGTGATCTAGCAACGGTGAGGGATAGGCTTGTACTCTTTTTGATCACGAATAGCATGATAAACCACACACAACATAGAGCGGATATTTATTTTTATTTATTTATTTGTTCGATTTATATACCGCCCTCCCTGTGGACAGTTTCAACACAATACCATTAAAACCATAATATACCGTGCAACGCCTAATTGTGACTAGCAATACTGATATTAAGATCCGGCCACTGATGTCACTTCAGCAGTACCGATGTTAAGATCCAGGCTGCTGAGGAGGAGGGAGCCAGGAAAAGAAAGGGATGCCCGCCACCTCAACCAAAGGCCTGGCGGAAGAGCTCAGTCTTACAGGCCCTGCGGAACTGCAATAGATCCCACAGGGCCCTGATCTCATATGGGAGCTCATTTTGGATTTTGCTGGGGACCAACACAGAATCCCACATACATACATATATCTTGACGTGAGTTATCATTATTGATAATGTACTTGCGATTTTGGGTGCCCAGCTGACTGTATTAACTATGGTGGTCTGTTCTAAGTATTGGGTGCGTGTTTGAAGTTGTAACTGCTGTTCCTTGTGTTGTGTGATGATCCTAGAACTGCTACCAAAAGCTGGGGGAAGAACAGAGGAAGCCATCATTCTACCCATTTGCTCACACGTCTCAGACAACATCAGTGCCCCTGATTGGCTAGAAGAACAAGAGGTGGGACACCCACTCATTTCTCATAGAATGATTGGGCAGAATATTGCCCAGACATTTTGCCTTGTATCTCTGGGTCTATGAGGGCTAGACTTTTTAGACGATGCAAACCCGATTTAGAGGAACTGCAGTCCCTTTCAACAGGGTTTGAGGGGCCATGGACTGGTTCGATTCATGAACATACCTCCCGGTTCAGTTTGTGCTTTGGCCACGAACCGACACTAACCACATTTTTCTGGTCCGTGCCCATCCTTAGCCCTGACCATATTCTACAAATGCAAATTCTAGGGAGAACAATATATAGCTGGGTTCAATGAGGAGAAATGCAAGTTGATAAATTAGAACTGGCCTGGGAAAAACAACTGTATATTAGAATAATAATATTTAAAACATACATTAAGATTCTCAAATTTCCAGCAGCAAAAAATAAGTACCTAGATACTTAGAGATAACAAAGAACCCCCCCCCCCAACCTGAAGGACAAGAATCTATGCTATTAGTAGATATTTACAATATCAACATTAATACAAATTAGTTTTTGGGGTGGAAATTAGCATCAAGTGGCAGGGTTTTCAAGGCAAGAGATGATCAGTGGTGATTTGCCATTGTCTGCCTCTGCATAGCAACCCAAGTCTTCCTTGCTGGTCTCCCATCCAACTATTAACCAGGGCTAACCCTGCCTAGCTTCCAAGACCACGCTAGCGTGGGCCATCCAGTTCAGGACAGGTAAACCTTAGGCTGTATGAATAGCTCACAACTTTCAATAGCCAACTGTAACTGAACTCAGGAAAATTTGCTTCATGGGTTTAAAAGAAATGTAACTGTTCTTATAAGAACTAATTGTTACAAACCGGCCATCAATATGTATTTAAATGGAAAGCAGAAGATGCTGTACTATTAACCGTTACCTTAAGAATATTATCAACTGTGAGAAAACGTATTTACAAGGTAAAGGTAAAGGTTTCCCTTGCTCGAAAGCCAGTCGAATCCGACTCTAGGGATGCGGTGCTCATCTCCATTTCCAGGCCGAAGAGCCAGCGCTGTCCGAAGACGTTTCCACAGTCATGTGGCCGGTATGACTAGATGCCGAGGCGCACGGAACGCTGTTACCTTTCCACTGAAGTGGTACCTATTTATCTACTTGCAGTTTCTTGCTTTCAAACTGTTAGGTTGGCAGGAGCTGGGACCAAAGACGGGAGCTCGCTCCGTCATGCGGCACTGAGGTCTCGAACTGCTGAACTACTGACCCTCCAGCCTGCAGTTCAGCGTCTTAACCACTTGAGCAAATGTTTATGAAGGATCTCTTTTGAGTTTTATTAAAACCTTAAAATCAAAGTGTTACTTTATTTCAACAAATCTGTTTCATACTTTAACCTCCTATACTATTCTCATTATCTTTCATGTGTATTTCTGTGCTTTCTTCAGTTTGACATTCTTCTTCAAAACCTCCTAAAGGTAAAGGTTTCCCTTGCTTGAAAGCTAGTCAAATCCGCCTCTAGGGGGTGGTGCTTTCTCACAATACAAGAACTCGTGGGCACTCAATGAAATTGCTGAGCAGTCGGGAGAACAGATAAAAGGAAGGACTTCTTCACCCAAAGAGTGATTAACACATGGAATTCACTGACCCAGGAGGTGGCAGCGGCAGCTACAAGCATGGGCGGCTTCAAGAGGGAATTGGATAAACATCTGGAGCAGAGGTCCATCAGTGGCTATTAGCCACAAGTTATAGATAGGAACTCTCAGGCTGGGGCAAGAGATGCTCTGTATTCTTGGTGCTTGGGGGGGGGCAACAGTGGGAGGGCTTCTAGTGTCCTGACTCCACTGCTGGACCTCCTGATGGCACCTGGTATTTTTGGCCACTGTGTGACAGAGTGTTGGACTGCATGGGCTATTGGCCTGATCCAACATTGGCATCTCTTATGTTCTTAAAAAATGCTTCCTCTTCAGCAAGCACAGCTCCGCTGGCACCTTCCACTAAGGGCTTCCTGTTCCCTTCAGTGTTATAAGATGCAGAGTGTTGGACTGCATGGGCTATTGGCCTGATCCAACATTGGCTTCTCTTGTGTTCTTAAAAAATGCTTCCTCTTCAGCAAGCACAACTCCGGTGGCACCTTCCACTAAGGGCTTCTTGTTCCCTTCAGTGGCACAGTGTTATAAGATGTATTCTGTCATATAGGCCACTGCTAGAATTCAAGCCAGAATTTCAGACATGATTAGACCAAAAGTACCCAAGAATTACGGACAGGAAGTTATCCTGGCTCATCTAAGAAGAACTGGACATGAAGTCTGTGGCCACCACTGGCTGCTGAAGGGAGAGTCCCCACTGGGGTTTGTGCCTCGTTGGGTTGAAGTGTCCATGTCTTTTAAATGCATGCTGGATTTTTCTGTGATCCCAGGCACCTGGGCTGAACCATACCTAGCTTTGTTTCTGAGTGAAATCTGTCTCTTCATTTAGCAGCATACACTACTCCTCCAGGAGGTTCAAAGCAGTTTACATAATAAAAATAAAAATTAGTGAACTAATAATGGCAGCAGGCATTAAAACAAGCAGGAGCCTACCAGGAATTGCTGGGGAGTGTGGAGCAGGAAGTGGAACAGTTTAGGAATCCAGTCCCACCCCTAAAAATGTCCTCCATGGTTCCCTATCCCCAGGCTTCCATCAAGCTCTGTGTGTGTGTGGGATTTTTGTTTGTTTGTTTGATTTACAGAATCATATTTTTCTGCTTACCTGGAGAGTCCTCAGCGTAGCTAGACATACCTTGTCTGGGTGGTATGGTTTTTTTGGCTCTTGTCACTCACATAGGGGCCAACTAGTTTACTGTAAAATATAGCAAGTGAGGACCTACGAGGAATAAGCTGTGAAGCAGGACACAATAAAAATGGTAACAATGTTAATATATTGGACAAATACAATGTGAGCAGTACATGAATATAATCATTGCACACTAATTCGAAATATGAATCTTGTGATACACAATGAAATTCTCTTTCCAAAACAGTTCTTTCCAACAAAGAATCTGGATAGTGAAGACTTCGTTTCGATAATCTTCCTCAAGAAAATTACTGTTATAAATATTTCAAAGGCATAAGGTTCCAGAAAACTGTATAGCTTCAGACTGCTAATGTAGAAGGAACTGCCCTTCCAGTGTATTCAAAAAGGTTTGTAGTAACAGTTGTATTTCTAGAGGCTAGACCAGCTCAGCATTAAAACAGTTTCTAAAAAGTGTTATTGGTGGCCCATCAGTAGAGATTGTTACTACAAACCTCTTTGAATACCCTGGAAGAGCAGTTCCTTCTACATTAGTAATCTGAAGCTATACAGTTTTTTGAAACCTTATGCCTTTGAAATATTTATAACTAGGAAGAAGGCCCGTTGTGGAGACAAATGCAACGAGCTGTAGCTGGGCTGCCGCCTGCCAGCCCCTCCCTTGGTAGAAGAAGGGGCGGCAGCAGCCTCAGTCCCCGGGCCCAGCGGCAGGTAGAGCACAGCTGCTCCGCCGCTGCCAGCATCCTGGCTCCCGCCACCGGGGTCGAACAGGAGGAGGGTCTTGGCGTGGTGGCGGGCCCGCATCAGGGAGGCCTGTCGGTGTGTTCAATGGTGATGGTGGGGCGCAGCGCGGTGCGGCGTCAGCCACTTCAGCTGTCCTGGACGACGACGACAGGGCTGCCAGCAGAGGGGCAGCCTCCTGCAGCAGCAGCAGCCACCACCGCCTCGCCCTGATCGTGGCATTTCTGAATGTCTCTGGGCTTTCACACCTCTTCTCCGCATCTCCCAGTGGGCCTACTCACCCTCTGGCCGCCAGAGCATCTATCCCGTCGACTGGCTCAGAGCACAGTGAGCCAGAGATGCTGGCGGCTGCCTCACCACCTTTGTGGGTGGGATGGAGGCAAGGGAGCCAGCCAATGCAGCCAGGGGATCCTTCAGAGTGGCAGGTGCGAGAGCCAAAGGCTGCAGGAGCGTGTGGAGGAGAGACACCAAAACTCTTTTATATATAAGGAGAGATAGTAATTTTCTTGAGGACAACTATTGAAACGAAATCTTCAATATCCGGATTCTTTGTTGGAAAGAACTATTTTGGAAAGAGAATTTCATTGTATATCAGAAGATTCATATTTAGAATTACTGTGCTTTATTGTGCAATGATTATATTCATGTACTGAACACATTGTGTTTGTCCAATATATTAACGTTCATACCAGTTCTATTGTGTCCTGCTTCACAGCTCTTTCCCGTTGTTGTTACTACTATACTGCTGGGTGATCTCCTTTTAGTTGACCTATGAGGAACTGCAGAAATCCCATGTTCCCCTTAACTCTTTTTTTTCCTACTTCTGCTCATCACCTTTGCATCTTCCCACGTGCTTGCCTCGGCCACCTCCTGTCTTTTTAAAAACATGGGAAGTACGGGGCCCTGGTTATGGACAGGTTGGAGACTTAGAGATGCCTGCTTTAAATGTAAATCTGGTACAAGGTGCACTGCCTGTGACCATGACTGCTGCTGTGCCAGAGAATCTCTGTCCTATTTACCTGGCTATCAGAGTCCTCATATCCTTCTGCACGCACTATCTGAGAGCGTATTACGAGAACTTAGTAAGTTAGGCCCACATATTGTAAATGGAAAAGTGGGGAAGGTACAGGCCGACCAAGTATAATTTGGTGATTTCATGGCAAAGGTAAAGTTTGAGCCAAAGACTGACTGGCTTGGATACTTTAACCTTTTTTTTCTCCACTGGATGTGGACAAAGCAGTTTACAATATGAGAAATCAATAACCAAACTGCCAAATACAGCGAACACAGCTGTAAGCAGTAAAATAATCCACCAGGGAGGGAAGGGGAGTGCAGCAAGTGGTCAAAATGATGGCAGCAGTCTCTCCCCAGGACCCCCCCCCTAATTCATGCTCTGAACCATACAGATTGAGAAGTGGGGGCTGGAGCGGAGAGAGAAAGGAATGGAGGCAACCAGGAGCTGTGAGAGAATCTGTACATGAGGCGGTAAGGGCAAGGTTTAAAGGGGACGTTGACAGGATTCAGACTTGCTTTTCATTGTTGGTTTATTTCACCAGTACCTTCTATTTGCTTGTAACCATCTGAAAATGTGTCTTTTTTGAAAGCTGGAGGTCAACTGTGGTAGAAAGACAGTTGATTCTGTATCTACATAGAGCTGTGGGTATGACCCTGGGGTCAGTCATAAGTTCTTTCAGAACTGTTCTCTCAAGGGCGGGTGTCTGTTGTGGGGAGGGGAAGGGAAAGGAGTTTGTAAGCCGCTCTGAGACTCCAAGTGAAGGGCAGGATATAAATCCAATCTCTTCTTCTTCTTCTTCTTCAGTTCTCGGGAGAGTTCTCTCAGCCCCGCGTAGCTCACAGGGTCTCTGTTGTGGGGAGAGGAAGGGAAGGTGATTGTAAGCTGCTCTGAGACTCCTTCGGGTAATGAAGGGCGGGATATAAATCCAATCTCCTCCTCATCTTCCTTCTTCTTCTAGAAGCTTGTCTTTTCCTCAAAGGCTCTAGCCACTTTATTCCTGGAATGATTTAAGATTTTTGTTTGGTAGTTCACAATACATAATTATTATGCAATTTATAGCTGTATAGATTAGCAGTTAGAGGAGTGGAAGCATATTTTAGGAGCACTTTGATTAACACAACTAATATTAAAATATTCTTCTTTGTTACAGCCTTACAGTGTGTTTGCCTTGTTTGTGCAAAAGAGAACTTTACGTGTACAACAGACGGGCTCTGCATTACTTCAGTGACACGAAATGGAGATAAAATTATACGCAATAGCATGTGTATAGCAGAAATTGATCTGATTCCCAGAGACAGGCCATTTATTTGTGCTCCATCATCAGCTGAAGGAGTTACTACTGTGCCTCATTGCTGTGACAAAGATTTCTGCAATAGAATAGACCTTCCAATTCCAACACCAGGTAAAAAAGTGTGCCTCTGTGTGTGTGTGTGTGTGTGTGTTCGGTAGGTTTTTCTAAAATGTACAGTCTCTCCTTATATATAATTCTGTTTTCGAGTGGCAACGTTCCATGCGCTCCCAAATCAGTTGGCTCCCTCATCTGCCAATCAGAAGCTGTCCCTATTCACTGGCTGCGTTGCCTGAGTCCCACCCACAGAAGCACTGCCCACCAAAAGTCGCCTCAGAACACACCTTCACCTCAGAAGAGAGAGGATGTCATTTGCCTGTGGAGCCTTTTCCCAGCGGGGGGATCCTTCTAGCGCGGAGCCTTGTAGCACGACGGCCCTGCTCCAGCAGCCAGCGTTTCTGCCTGCCTTTTGAGGGCTCTGGTAGGGCTCTGAGAGGGGCGGGTAGCATCGGGCCTCCCCTTCGGCACAGCGGTGTCCATCTGCTGCCCATCTTCACACACACACCCCAACTTCAGCTGGCGGCCCAGGGTGCAGGACACTCACTCCCCTGGGGCGCTGTGAAGCCAGCAGGTTCTGGACGGGCCCACAGCCAGGTTCTTCGGGGCCATGGTGGGTCTGTCTGGCATTGCTGCGCTCTTCCCCCATGCCGCAGGCCCTTTGGGATCAGGGACCCAGCCCTCTGAGGCAGCATGGGCCCAGCGGCCAGGGCACAATGCTCCTCTTCACTATTTGTTTGCTGCGCACAGCTAGAACTGCAGTGGCCGGTTGCCGCCACTGAGGCCCCTTCTCCCATGCCGGAGGGCCTTCCGTGCCTGCGAGCCAGCCCTCCAAGCCAGTGCGGGCCCAACGGCCATGCCAGGACACTGTTCCTGATGCTTTGTTTTCCGGCTGGCAACAGCACGTATGTAACATGCACAACCTGTATGCCCAGAGTGGCGGTGGCAGCAGCAGCGGCTTCTCCTCCTCTCTTACTCCTCGGCCAGTGGCCGCGCCTGGTCTTTCGCCTCCAGGTCGCTCTGTTGCCGGTAGGGTGGAGGAAAGTCTGGCAGAAAAGTTTGTTGCAGCGTGGTGAGAGAAGGAGAGCGAGAGACCGTGACTTGCCTCGCCCTTGTGGGGCTGGCTGGCGAATGAGTGGCACAGGTCCCTGGTTGGCTGGCCGGCCGGCCTCTACCATCCTGGCTTCCCCCCCTTCCTTTGCCGGCGCCTCCCTGCCCTGCCTTCCTTCTGGGGAGGTGTTGTCTCCACCACTGCAGCCACATTGGTCTTGGCTCAGTGGCTCCAGACAAAAAGCGACGCGGGCAGAAGGGACTGTACACCACGTGCGAAGCTCGCTGGCAGTGGAGAGGGGAGCCCAGGGACACAGCTCTTTGCCCTGCTCAAACCTGATTCCGGCCACAGAGCGGAGTGACCGCCGAGTCCGGTAAGTGGAGCCCTGGAGGGGCTCCGGAAGCTATTAGTATGTACGTCACCTACTTCCAGTCACTGTATTCTTTACATATCACATCTTTCCAGAGCTCGTTGTATTGCTTCTACAATGGGCTTTACTGCTAGTGCAAAATATATGAGATAAAATAATGTTCAGATAAAATGAGCACAGAAAGGATTTTGAGGCATGTCTACGCAAGACCCAGCCTGGTGTGGTGGTTGGAGTCCAGGACGTAGGATATGGGAGACCCAGGTTCAGATCTCCCCTCTGCCATGGGGGCTCACTGGGTGCCCTTGGCCCCGTCACGTACGCTCAGGTTAACCTATTTCATAGAGTCGGTGTGAGGCTAACATGGAGGAGAGGAGAATGATGCAAGCTGCTTTGTGTTCCCATTGAGGGGGAGAAGGCGGGGTATAAATGAAGTAAAATAAAATAAATCAAAATAAATGAAAACTTCTTGCCTTTATTCTCTTTCTAGCACAAAACAAGAAACGCAGGAGGCACTGACTTTAAAACAGTTCAGTTTCCTTCCTCCAACAAGCTGTGTCATTCACATAGAGTATATGGTTCTCTCTGTCCCCTCTTTTTGACCAGTGGGCTCCTACCTGGCTGTATGGGATCAAGAGTCAGTTTGGTGTAGTGGTTAGGAGTGTGGACTCTAATCTGGGAGAACCGGGTTTGATTCCCATCTCCTCCACATGCTGCTGCTGGTGTGACCTTGGGTCAGTTACAACTTCTTTCAGAGCTGTTCTCTCAGGAGCAGTTCCCAAAAGAGCTCTCTCAGGACCACCTACCTCACAGGGTGTCTGTTGTGGGGAGGGGAAGGGAGAGGAGTTTGTAAGCCACTCTGAGACTCCCTCAGGTAGTGAAGGATGTGGTATGAATCCAATCTCTTCTTCATTGTTTGGCCCATGAGGATTGAAGGGGCCAAGCCCTGTGCCGTTTGTTGCCATCATGCAAACAATAAAATACTACATAATGTTTAATTTGGCAGGTGATTTTCTCTGCCCCTTTTATGTCTTATTATCCTTTCCTTCTACCCACTTCTAGGTCCTGCACCAGGAAAGCTTGCTTCTAATTTAGGACCAGTGGAACTGGCTGCTGTTATTGCTGGACCGGTCTGTTTTGTTTGCATTTCACTCATGTTGATTCTGTATATCTGCCATAATCGTGCTGTTATACACCACCGTGTTCCAAGTGAAGAAGATCCTTCCATGGATCGCCCCTTCATATCCGAGGGCACCACTTTAAAAGATTTAATTTATGATATGACTACTTCAGGCTCTGGTTCAGGTAATGTAGTTTTTTTAATGCATGACGGTAAATCTCTTTATTTAAAAGCCAGTGTGATTAATAGCAATGCACTAATACAACTGCTTGCTAAATAAAAGGGAAAAATAGGGCCTTTGTAGAAATAATAACTAGGACTTCCGTCATTGCGAAGTTGTGGTTGTAGCTAGAGGCAGCATCTCTTTGTGGTACAATAGGTAGTTTGATATTAAGAAACATACATCTTGCTTATAGAAGGAAATCTGTCTCTGGATTTTAAATGAAGTAAAATACCAAACAAAATTTGGGTCTAGTGGCACTTTTAAGACCAACAACATTTTATTCTGGGTATGGCACACAAAAGCTTATACCCAGAAGAAAACTTTGTTGGTCTTAAAGGTGCCACTGGACTCAAACTTCATTTTTGCTGTTTCAGACCAATACAGACCACCTGAATCTAAAATAACCAAAGACAGTTTGAAATTTAACTTTGGTGGCTGGCCCAAATACATCCCCCCCCCGTCTTCAGGCTAAGGTATGAAAGAGCTGATGCCGTTGTCATATACAGGGCTGTTTAGTCTGGATATTTGCAGGCTCCCACTGACCGGCTTCGTATACATATTGAGCATTTAAAAAAAAAAAGGCAGGAGACTCCCCGGAAAAAGTGACCAGTCGCCATCATCTTGGAACTCTCAAGAATGAGCGGAACCTCTTGAGCAGTTGCCCTAATTGTGGATTTTGGAAATATCTCCTAAGAGCAACAGGAAATATCTCCTAAGAGCAACAGGATATTGTTTCCACTGATAATCAATATTATCTGGACTTGTTTCCTCTGTTGCAACCTGATTTCTAAGACTGAATCTTGTGTCTAAGCCGTTCGCCTAAGGAGGCTACCACTGTGTTAATTAATTGTTTGCAGCTCTAGTACAGAGCTGGTGAATTTGGTAAGTCCGATAAATCAGGCAGGAGGTGGGATCTCTGCTCCTGACCTTGGTGGGGACTTTTGAGATCCTGGTGGCAGTAACTACTGGAAAAGCCTGGAGAGCAGTGTTCCATCTAAGCTGAGTTAGTGTGAGCTAGCTCACCATTTTTTAGCCTCCGGCTCACACATTTTTGTCTTTGCTCAGGAAGGAATGGCTCCAGAGCTAACTGATCTATACAGGTGCAAAATGGCTCGCTCACAACTTTAAGGCCAGTAGGTCACAAAGTAGAATTTTTGCTCACAGGACTCCACAGCTTACAGGGAACATTGCTGGAGAGTGCACAGACATTCTCCTGGGGTTTGTTTAATTGTTGCTGAATGCTTGGTTTAACTCCCATCCCTGGACTGGAGTGAGAGAGAAACCTTGACAATTACAGAGCCAAGTACGAATTCCCCAGCACCTCCTTCTGGAACCAGTCAGCCAGATTCGATAGGAACTGCTGGAGTGTTCTAGCAATTCCTGTTCTAGCAAATGCTCCGTACGTTTACCATGGTGGGCCATGCTCCCTCTAAACTGTGGAGTCTTGTGAGCAGAGCGTCTGCTTTGTGAGCTACTGGCATTAAAGTTGTGAGCAAGCAATTTGGCCGCTGCATAAATTAGTTTGCTCTGGAGCCATCCTTCCAGAGCTAAGACAACAAAAATGTGAGCCGGAGGCTACAAAACTGTGAGCTAGCTCACACTAACTCAGCTTAGAGGGAACACTGAGTTGGTAGAATCAAAGGTGGTTAAAAATTACAGGTGAATCAATAGGGATACACTCCCCCTATCACTCTCCCCATTGATTGTCCCAATTATGTTTATTGTCCAGGTGGCCAACACTGTATCTGTTTCTAAACCAGGCCTGAAGCGGGATTGAACTAGATCTCAAAAATTAGTCTCTTCCAAGATTGAACAGCTTCTAACCCCTCAAAAACTTTGCCCCAGAAGGAGATCTGGTTTGTAGTTCCTGGTTTAGGAATGGTTTCTTTGATGGTCTGGAAACAGTGATGTAGATTTTCCAGAAATATATGAATTGGAAATTTTTTGATGCCTTAAATAGAACACAGTCTGATTTAGCATATTTGTTTTGACTTTTATTTAATAAACAAAAATTTAGGACTACCCCATGTTAGTTTTATGTCCCAATAGCAACAGACACGTGAGCTGAAATATTTGATGAGGGAAAAAATGTGGTTTAAATGTTACAGTCAAACAGATTCATAGCTTTACATTGAAATTATTTTTATTGGAAGAACTGTGCATGATATTCTGTAGTCCCAGTTGTCCACTCATCTGTTTCAGTGCCAGTTTGGTGTAGTGGTTAAGAGTGGTGGACTCTACTCCGGAGAACCTGGTTTGATTCCCCACTCCTCCACATGCAGCCAGCTGGGTGACCTTGGGTCAGTCACAGTTCTCTCAGAGCTCTCTCAGCCCCACCTACCTCACACAGGATGTCTGTTGTGGGGAGAGGAAGAGAAGGAGACTGGAAGCTGCTGTGAGACTCTGAGTAAAGGGCGGGGTATAAATTCAACTCTTCTTCATCTTCTTCACACTTGCTTTCTGTGGCGTCACTTGTATTACATTAAATCATGCCTCTTGTATTGAAGAAGGCTGAAAAAAGCACATTCAAAATTAGAATGCATTTATATTAAAAATGCCTCTCTCTGTTAAAGTAACTCACAAGGTATATGGACAAATCAGTTGGATTAGTATAACTAGACTGGACATGGATGTTTTGATTAAATGTGGAAGAGATGTCTCCCTTTTGTTGTTTTTTTGAAATAGCATAGCCACCCACATGTGGGAACGTGTGGGGGTAATATACACTGTAAAGACTAGTAAGATTCCACTTTCTATATAATTTGGGACGGATCATGTCATTTTTCTGCTGGTTGGAAGCATTTTGTCCCCCTTCCCCCATTGCTCCTTAACATCCCTGAGAAGGCTGTATCAGGGATTAGGATCTTGTGTGAAGAAAACATCCCATGGAAATAGGTGCTGCAGTGAGGTGGGAGATCAGACAAATCCCCCCTCTTCTGCCTCAGGTCAGAAGAAGGGTACCAAAATCCAGCTGACTCTTTGTGGAATGAGAGATAAGCTTAAAGTCACAAACTTTTTTATCAATCGCTCAAGCGATGACATTTCTTTGCCATTAGTTACAAAAAAGTTCTTAATTTTGTAGGTTTACCATTACTTGTCCAAAGGACAATTGCAAGAACAATTGTGCTGCAAGAAAGTATTGGGAAAGGTCGCTTCGGAGAAGTCTGGCGGGGGAAATGGAGAGGAGAAGAAGTTGCAGTGAAGATTTTCTCGTCAAGAGAAGAACGTTCCTGGTTTCGTGAGGCAGAAATCTATCAGACTGTTATGCTACGTCATGAAAATATTCTTGGGTTTATAGCTGCAGACAATAAAGGTTAGGAAGATTCCTGATTTCCGTGGCTTGTAAAATTCATGATGCCATCCAGGTTGCAGTTTTTGCATATCATAAGTGAGAAATGGAGAGCATTTGCATGGTTCCAGATAAAGTGCTACAAGAATGAGCCCTGAATTTCTCAGTACAGAAGAGAACTGCGGGGAAAATTCATATACTTGTAATGAAAAATAAATTCCTCTCTCTTGTGTAAAATGCTACTAGTGGTTTGTACGTCAAACATTCCAAGCATTCCGGTCTCAAAAGCATATAATATGTATCCTCAGTACTGCATCTGTTGGCTGTGTAATTTTGATTGACATCAATTAAATTTAAGCAGCTTAACAGTGTGTAGGACTGCAGCCGTTGCCATTTCTTGTTCCAAGGAGATGTATGGTACTTTCTATTCATTGTTGAATGACATACTGACCAGGTATGAGTTGTTAGGATTTTGGTTTTTAAAAAACAAACAAAAAACCTTTATATTTCTGTTTTTCAGATAATGGTACATGGACACAGCTGTGGCTAGTGTCAGATTACCACGAGCATGGATCTCTCTTTGATTACCTGAACAGGTACACGGTTACTGTGGAAGGCATGATAAAACTAGCTTTGTCTACTGCCAGCGGACTCGCACATCTTCACATGGAAATTGTTGGCACTCAAGGTAACTCGCCACATGGAGTCTGCAGCCTGGAATATAGATTAATAGTTAATGAAAAGGCTTAGAAGGAAAAACATTGTATGAAGTTCAGATTTTGCTCTCAAAGAATATCCATTCCGGTCAGGGGTCTTGTTGTAGAAAAAGAGCTGCCGGAGCTCATTAGCATAACTCATTAGCATAACTTATTTGCATATGCCACGCCCCCTGACATCACCGGAAGTGACAGAAGGCCACACCCCCTGACATCACTCAGATTTTGCTCTCAAAGAATATCCATTCTGGTAAAGTACATTTATCAATCAATAAGTCTGTTCAGTTTCAATTATAATGTGTTGCATAATATTCCCTGTTTCTCTTCCCCTCTTAACTCTCTGTTTGAAACAATTTTGGTCAGTTTCCCCTTTAGTTTCATTTTTAATCTGAACAAAACAAAAAACTCCTAACTCCTGCTTGGCTAATTTCAGTTATAGATTATTTTTTTCTGTGGGCCGTAAAATCAGACCACATCAAATGCAGGTACTTCCTGAGCGCACCCCAGATTTCTGTATGTGGTCTCTGAATAGCAGCAAAGGAATGGGTCGTTTTAGTAAATCTTGCTCCGTAGTCGTGTGGATAGACTTCCAGTCACCCAACTGTGATTGTTTCCAAGTGGGTACTTTAACTAATACTAAGATTGGCAGTAAGGCAGTATGAGTCGGAGGGGCTCTTTCCCCAGCAGCCAGTTCATCTGCCCTTTTTGTCTAGTTGTGGGGTGCCACCAGGGCCGGATTTAGACTTGCTGAGGCCCTAAGCTATACAAAACCCAGAAGCTCCCTACTGTTTTAAATTACATCAGCTGGTCTCAGAAAACTTTAAATTATATACGCCTTTTTAATATTTGAAATCATTTGTTATATTGTGTTTTTATTCGAGGCCCCAGCAGATTGCGAGGCCCTAAGCTGTAGCTTATTTAGCTTATGCGTAAATCTGGTACTGGGTGCCACTGCGGTGTAGTGGTTAGATTGTTGGAGTAGAACCAGGAGACCTGGGTTTAGATCCTCACTCAGCTTGCAGGTTGATTGTGGGCCAGTCATGCTGTCTGTGCCTGATCTCCCTCGGGGCTGTTGGGTGGATACAAGGGAGGAGGGTGGAACTTTATGCTGGAAGGGGCTCAGTATAGGAAAGGTGGGATCTAAACAGGATTGACTTTTTGCTCCAGTAGACAAGAGAGAAAGGTGGACAAAAGGAATGCTCAAGCACTGGAACGGGACATGCCAGTACTGTATAGGAGCAGTTCCCAGCATTTTTGGGACGGTGACCCACAGGACCAAATTTACTTGGTATGGTGGCCCATCCAAGGCTGGCCCAAGGTTTTTTGGTGACCTGGGCAAACTATGACCTTGGCACCCATCTAGTCTGGCATTCCATTTTCTACTGTGGCTATACCAAATGTTTTTGAGAAACCAGGAACCATTCCACGAAGGGTGCAGCTGTCCCCACTATGAACCCCAGGCAAGCGGCATTCCAACATACACAGCCTTTGCATATGAGGGTTCCATTCCAACCTCTGACTGCCCTCTCCTTCTCCATTATTCCCTCTAATCCCCCCTAAGATTCTCACTCATTCCAGTGACCACCAGGGCACATTTTGCTTGATCAACATGTATATGCAGTGAAGAAAAAATGGAAGGTACAATATCCAGATTTGGATCTTGGTTTCCAAGATACAAAAGTGCACAGTGGAAAAGGGCCATTAGGGTGGCCATTAGGGTGGGCTGGCCCACGGCCCACTTTGCAGAGGCTTTGTGACCCACTTTTGGGTCCTGACCCACAGGTTGGTAAACACTGTTGTATGGTACTTCTCTGTGTGGATACTTCAGTAACTAAAGATACAGTCCATCTCTTGATCTGTTCCTGGCAACCTTACATGGACTTTACTGAGTCCTGGGCAGTGTTCCCTCTAAGCTGAGTTAGTGTGAGCTAGCTCACAGTTTTTTAGCCTCTGGCTCACACATCTTTGTCTTAGCTCAGGAAGGAGGGCTCCAGAACAAACTAGTTTATGCAGCAGCCAAATCGCTTGCTCACAACTTTAATGCTAGGAGCTCCGAAAGTAGAATTTTTGCTCACAAGACTCCACAGCTTAGAGGGAGCATTGGGTATAACTCATTCAGCGAGCTCAGCCCCGGTATCAGTGCAGTGCATGGGGCCTTATTTTTTTTAATCTGAGACCGTCAGATCAATCTGGCTTCATGATGAGAAAGCACAAGGCCTTTGTTTGTAGCAATATCAACAGTGGCGATAATTTGATAGCGTTTTCCAGAAGGATTTAAAGAGCTTTGCTTCATGTTACCTCAGTAATTTTGTTTGGGTTTTTTTTATGTTGTAGAGATTATTTCAGGTGTTTGTCATTTCACTCTATGGTTTCAAACAATGCCCACAGAATTAGGAATATGGTTATGCAAATTGCTTAATTTAACACCAGAAACGAGCCCAAATTCAACACTGAATTTGAATTTCAGTGTGTAACCATGCAAGGCATTTCTGTTTATAAAATATCATTTGTGTGTGTTTTGTTGCAGGGAAGCCAGCTATAGCTCACCGAGATTTGAAGTCAAAAAACATATTAGTAAAGAAAAATGGAACGTGCTGTATTGCAGATTTAGGTCTGGCGGTAAGGCATGATTCGGCTACAGACACAATAGATATTGCTCCAAACCACAGAGTGGGAACGAAAAGGTAAGATCATTCTCTTAAAAAAAAGAAAGAAAAGAATATACTTATTTATTGTAAGAAGGCTGGTTATCATGGCTCTCAATTTAAAAGCAACTGTGCAGGAACCCTCCAGGGTCTGTGGAAACCAGACCTTCCTGGGTTTCAAAGTGAAAAGTCTAGATCAGTGATGGTGAACCTTTTAGAGACCGAGTGCCCAAACTGCGACCCAAAACCCACTTATTTATCGCAAAGTGCCAACACGGCAATTTAACCTGAATGCTGAGGTTTTACTTTATGGGTTAGTTGGGGAAGGGGTGTTTTTCCTTCTCTTTTTTCCTCATGTATGAGAGTTGTCGATGGGAGGCATGGCTTGGATATGGACTGACGATCTGTGGGCAAGCCCCTCCTCTCCGGGATCAAATTCTGCCAATCAACCCTGCTTCCGGAGGAGGGAGGAGCTACCCACTCGTGAGGACCGCCCCACTCCAGGACCACCGAGAAGGAAGCTTCACGGTAAGTGAAGACAAATCTTCCGTTTTGCATCCTAACCTACTTGATGGGGGTCCATCTGCTGCCAGTTCTTAGGTAAAGGCCAGGGTGTGGCTGTAACAAATCCCTTTTATCTATTTTTCATGTCCTCTGCCTAGCAGATTATCTTGAATGGGTGGAGTAGTGCCCTCCTCCTGAGACACTGCCCTAACACTGAAGGAGCGTGAATACACATGAAAGTTTATACCCAGAACAAAAAACATTTGGTCTTAGAGGTGCCCCTGAACTCAAACTTTGCTCTGCTGATTCAGACCAACACAGCTGGCCACCTGACTGTACACTAAGGGTGTGGATTCAGTATAAACCACACCAAATAAATACCTGAAGAATACCTTATCGGTATTTTGGGGGTATTTATTCAGCCGAATGCAGATTAGACAAGCTGATTTGACTGCTGATATAGCTGGCCTCAATAAAAGCTGATATGGTTTGGCTTTTATTCAGGCCAGCTATATCGCCAAGTTACACCGCCGCAGTGGTGCCACCGTGGCTTGGAGAAGGCATTCCCTTTGCTGGTGTCGGCACGGCACAACTGCACAAGTAAAGTGAAGGCATTTCTAAATGCCTTCCCTTCACTTGTAAAGTCGCACATTGACTGCTGATATAGCTGGCCTCAATAAAAGCTGATATGGTTTGGCTTTTATTCAGGCCAGCTATATCGCCAAGTTACACCGCCGCAGTGGTGCCACCGTGGCTTGGAGAAGGCATTCCCTTTGCCGGTGTCGGCACAGCACAGCTCCACCAGTAAAGTGAAGGCATTTTTAAATGCCTTCCCTTCACTTGCAAAGTCGCACTGTGGTGGCGGCACGCCTCCATCAGTGAAGGGAGAAGGCATTTAACTTCCCTTGACTCGTGGAGAGTTGTGCTGTGGTGGCGGCACACCTCCATCAGTGAAGGGAGAAGGCATTTTTTATGCTGAATAAAGTTAAAAGAGAAGAAGGCGTTTTGAAATGCTGAATGAATTCAGGTTTCCCGATTATTTACCCAAATCCCAGTATCATACCAATATTGGGATTCAGGAATATCGGGATATACTGATATTTTTCGGGTCTACTGGACCCGAATCCAACAAAGCCGATTTTTTTCCATGCACACTCCTAATCTGCACTGACACAGGTGGTTGAAAAATGCCCAGGTCCTTGGAGAGACAAGGTGTCTGCTTTCTCTGCCGTTGTCTTAGTGTCTGAGGACAGTTAGGTGGCTGAGCTATTACAGCTTTGCATAGCAGGTGAAGTGGAAAACCAGTCTTACCACTTGAGAGTACAGGCGTGAGTTAATACTGTGGATTGTTCTTCCATACCCCCCCCCCAAAAAAAATCCATGCACGTAACTCTATGTTTGGAAGAAGCCTAGGCTTTTCCTTGAGAAGCCAGTCCTCTACATGCAGGGATTGTTTTTGTCTGGAGAAGCATACCATCACACGAACCTCTACAAGCAAATCTTAATCTGGATAGCCCTGAGGCATTTCCCACCTTTCCTGCTGTTAGTGGCAACAAGACCTAAATCTTCCCAGTTTCAGCTTTCTTTTTCTGTGGGTACCTTTTATGTTTGCTTGCGGTCTTACAGTGCACTCTAGTGGCCAGAGTGATATTAGACAAGAAATATTCTTCAGATACTTCAAGGAAGTTGAATGTCCCCTTTCCTTTCCGTAGCTGCTGTCTAGGTAAGGCACTGGCAGGTGTTGGTTGCTCTACCACCTTATGCTAAAGAAAGCGCCTCTCTATGTGCTCTTAGGCACCAGAGGCATAGAGACACCAAGGGAAGAGTCCGATGATTATGCCTTCCCATAGGACTGGCTGCCCGCTCTGCTGTAGCCATTGTGTTTAAGTGGCTTCATTGCCGCACAGTTGGGTTGCCAACCTCCAGGTGCTGCAAACCAAAGAGAGAGATCATGGGATGGAAGTTAAGAAGAAGCAAACAACCGCGATGTATTATGCCAAAAAAGTCTCCAAAGACTAGATTCAAACGCCATCAACACCCAACGAACCGTGCATATTGTTTCGTTTATAACTTTTATCAAAGTGGGTGGCGTTGAAATCTCATCTCATTTGATGAGTGTCACTATGAGATACTACTAGAGAGTTTGTCAAATGGATTAATATTGTATTTCGATGCTGCCCACTTTGATAAAGTTATACATGAAACGAGATACAATATGCACGGTTCGTTGGGTGTTGATGGCGTTTGAATCTAGTCTTTGGAGACTTTTTTGGCATAATACATCACGGTTGTTTGCTTCTTCTCAGCCTCCAGGTGCTGGCTGGAGATCTCATGGGATTACAGCTGCTCTCCAGGAGACAGAGACCAGTTCAACTGGAGAAAATGGCTGCTTTGAAAGTTGGGCTTTATGACATTATACCCCAGTGGTGGCGAACCTATGGCACGGGTGCCAGAGGTGGCACTCAGAGCCCTCTCTGTGGGCACGCGTGGCATCGCCCCAGCCAGGCCCAGACCATCAGTAAAGTGTCGAATTCTCTGCCAAATAATTTTAAGTCAATGAAAGCATTTGGGATTGCTTTCCTTCCTTTGTTTGGATCATCTTAAGTGAATGTATGAGTTGTTTTTTCTAAAGTAAAACGTCAGTATTCAGGTTAAGTGGGGTTTGGGTCACAGTTTGGGCACTCAGTCTCTAAAAGGTTCGCCATCACTGTTATACCCCATTGCAGGCCCTCCCCTCCCCTGTAGGTAAATGAGAGGATAAATAGGGTTTGACTGTATAAATCAAAATCTGTGCCAGTAAGTTTTTCTTCGGTCTCAATCAAGTTAACGCACATCAGTAGGTAATATGTTAAATAAATATACTATTATTATAATAGTTGGTTGTTTTTCAGATAGAAGCACTGAGATGTGGTTTGGGTTGAAAAGTAGATTTAGGTCAGTGTAAATGTTCATGAGGCTGTCACTGGGCATAATGCTTAAGTTAATATTAACTTTCTGAATTGGCTCGGTATGTGTAGCTGCTTCCGGATAGCTATGTTCAAACACCACTGTGTTGTACGTGAATGCACATTGTTTTTATTTTGATAGGTACATGGCTCCTGAAGTACTTGATGACTCTATAAACATGAAACATTTTGAATCTTTCAAAAGAGCAGATATTTATGCAATGGGGCTAGTGTTCTGGGAAATAGCTCGCCGATGTTCGATCGGTGGTAAGTACAAACAGGAATAAAACAGAATTGACTTTGTAACTGTCATAACGACACAATCCGTAAGATACATCTTTGTTCCAACTATCTCAGGAATTCATGAAGACTACCAGTTACCATATTATGACCTAGTCCCTTCAGATCCTTCAGTGGAAGAAATGAGGAAAGTTGTTTGTGAACAGAAGTTACGACCCAATATCCCAAACAGATGGCAAAGCTGTGAGGTGAGGTTTTTTTGTAGAGGTATTGAAGTTCAGAGTTAAGCAGGGTCGGCCATTTTCAGTACTTGGATGGCAGACATCCAAGGAGGACTGAGGTTGCTGTGTGGAGAAGACGATGGCAAGGCACTGAGAGCCAGTTTGGTGTAGTGGTTAAGTTCACAGACTCTAATCTGGGAGAACTGGGTTTGATTCCCCACGCCTCCACATGCAGCTGCTGGTGTGACCTTGGGTCAGTCACAAGATCTCTCGGAGCTGTTCTCTCAAGATCAGTTCTCAGTCAGAGTTCTCTCAGCCCCACCTACCTCACAGGGTGTCTTTTGTGGGGAGAGGAAGAGAAGGAACTTGTAAGCCACACTGAGACTCCCGAGTGAAGGGCGGGGTATAAATCCAATCTCTTCTGCTCTTCTGCCCATGGATGGGGTCAGTCACCATAAATCAGTTGCAACTGAACAGCGTGTTCCTCTTCCTCTTCTTATTAGTTTTAGTAGTATTGTTGAAGTTTAAGTGCTTAGAACTATTTAAAGCAATCTGCTTGCATATTCTTGCTGAGCTTTCCGTGCCTTATTAAAGAAGATAGATTCACTGTATGCCTTTAGATTTGTGGGAACCAACTGATAATTCACGTTAACAAGACTGGCTACTTGTGGAACAAAAATGTGACTTCTGAGAACCTGTGGCATGCTGACCAAAGTGTGTTTCTTTCCTTCCAGGCGTTACGAGTAATGGCCAAAATTATGCGAGAATGTTGGTATGCCAATGGTGCAGCAAGGCTAACAGCTTTACGTATAAAGAAAACACTGTCACAGCTCAGCCAGCAAGAGGGCATAAAAATGTGATTTTGGAGGCGGTACTTAAGGAAACTCTTAAAAGTCTGCATCTGCACTTAGCTTGTGCGTTGAGAAAGCTAATTGTTCTACCTCACTGAGGGAACAGAAGGATATGGCTGCCTTTTTATACAACATAGGAAGACCAGTGATTAGCCCAGGATTTCTGTGGATGTGGTAAATAGTTGTACATAGTCTTACTGTGCACTATGAACACCTCTTTTCCCCCCCAGGGCACTCGGAAACTTTTGTCTAGTCTAGCTTCAGTACAGTGTAAAGGCCAATGCCAGTCTCTGTTGACTGTGTTGAGGACATGAAGAATATGCTTAAGATAATGGAGCCGGTGTACACTATTGATACAGCACGTTGAAGGATTTCTTGAAGTGTTTTTTAAGCTGTTTGCTTTGTTCATGATTGTACACTGTATATTCTGAACCACTCTTGGATTTTTCTTCAATTCAGATGGTATACCATTTTTTTCTGGCTACTAAGAGCGATATCCTATTGGACATTTCTATCAGGATTTACAGACATGACCTCATTCATCTGGAGGACCATACACAACATATGCAATTCTATTTTGTATACTATTTCTGTTATTTTGCTTCAAAACATTACATGCCTTCAAAATAGATTGTACTGTACCAGTAAGTGCCACTTTTAAATCTTAATGCAATTCAGTAGGGACATGCAAAGTCTTTGGTGCTTGTATAATTACGTTAAATACCGTGATTCCTAACTAAAAGGGGATTTCATAGTCACATGTGAAAATCCCCCCCCATTTTTAACCAAAAACTCTAATTCTGTAGGACTCTAAATAGCATACAAGTAAATTCAATAATATCGTCTCAGTTGTACATCATAATGAGTTGTGGTGTCAGCAGCTGTTTTCAATTAAGGTAAGCTCTTACAAAGAGTGCTGTAAGAGTCTTTTAAAATTTGATGCAAGAACTAATCTGTTAAACAAGAGTACCTCTCTGGTGCCGCCTTGTTTCTCCATAGACCTTATCTGCTTTCACAACAGTGCTTTTGTTATCAGCCGTCTTTGTGCTTTTTGCAAAGTTGACGCATGTGGGCAAACATGTTCACGTGTGCAAAACCCGAGTTTTCATAGCTTCTGGGGCTGCTGTGTGGACACCTCGTGGGATCAGTTCAATATGCATATCAGTTAACAGATGTTTTGGCACTGCCAGGGCCAGCTGTATGGCTGAGGCATTGGATCTGAATTTAGGGCTCCTTCCCTCTGGAGTTGGAGTCCATGACAGTTGCTATATGTCTGGCTTAGGGAAGAAAGCATTGCGTGCCACATCATTTTGTACAGCCTTTGGTTTCCTTTGAAGATCTCTTGCTCGTGGGTTCTGTCTGTTATTATGTGACAACTGGAGGCAGGTGTTTTCTCAGCATATCTGACACACAAGAGTTAACTATAAAAATTGGATGCCCATTAAATTGATTTATTTTCCATAGTGGGTGAAAAACTCCGAGGGAGATTGTGAGCTAATGACATCTAGAATACTGAAAAATATGTATAGTACTTTCATGTCGAGGTGTATCTATCTTTGATTTTGCACATATTAAGACTTGCATGCACATTGGATTGCTACTAGTATAATTTCAAAACAGTTGCTTTTAAGAAGAAACAAGAATCTAGTTTTTAAACTTTTGAATAAGGAGGCAACCAAGAGGAATCAGAGAAGCTTGTCTTTATTTAACCCATGTTATGAATTAAAAGTTAAAATCTATTCTGAATTGCAATCAGTTTTGCAGAGGTGCAGGATGGAAATGATTACAGCTAACAGTATAGCAGCTATTGTTCGTTGTTCATCACCTTGACTGTTCATAATTCTCTCAAGCCAAAATTGATTTTTCTATTTCAGTCTATTAAACTTCCATAATTGTGAGATTTGTAAAAAGATAACTGCAAAGTAGCTTAAAACAATATTTAATTGTGAGATTGATTTTAATTCTCAAAACAGAGTTTGCAAAATGCTAATTTCATATTGTGAAAACTATACACAGCTATTTGTGGCTGGGCTGTGACACGACTTGAATTTTATTCATGTTTTCCATTGTTTGGCAATGTCTTATGAACTGTGTGTTTTTACAATCTGTTCACTGTGTAAAGTCAAACATAGGTCTTTTATATGCTTACCTAGGCTAGTATTAGTATTTTTAAAAGGTTATAATGTTCTGCTCTTTGGGAACCTGATGGGACCAAAATATTTCAGCGCTCAAACATATCATTTCCAGGACATACCAAAAGTATTTCAGACATATTGTTTCCAGGATGCACTCAGACATATAATTTCCAGGAGGTACCAAAAGTATTTCTGATGCAAACAAACAGTTGTTGTTGTAAATATTCACACAAACACACACACACACACACACACACACACACACAGAGTCTACCTTTACTTGATTATACGTTTTCATTAAGTGTGTCTTCTGAATAGCATTAACGTTTCATTTCAGATCATGGACATACGAGTATACAAGGAACAGTATGCAAATTATGTTAATTAGAAGTCTTGGATGCATTTCTTGGGCCTTGAGCACAGAAAGCCTGTTATCATATTTTTTTAAATTTGCCTGTCTGGAACTTGGTAGCCTTTCGCACCTTCTTTGTCTGCAGTGTCCATACATATGTACCACAATGGCACAGTTTGGCAAATTTCGTTAAGTGTAGCAAAAAGCTTTTACACTTTTACTCTGACAAAATAATGGTTTATCAGTTGGGTGCCATGGCTCTTGGTTTTCAGTTAGCCTGTTGTTTATGCTTTGCCATTAAAGTGGTTACAATGGTGTATGATTGTGTTTCATGTAAAAAAAAATCCAATATATCAGTTGCTTTAAACATCAATTACCTCTACAAAAGACCAAGGTACATTTACCTCATTTGTATATAAGGTTTAATATTTTTTTCAGAACATTCACAAGGTTGGTAATTTCACGTCTATTAAAATATGGGCGTTCCAACTGATAAATGTCCGGCTTTTCTGGTACTTAATCGGCTGCTATCCAAAGCTCAGCATGTGCTTGGATGTCACTTGGAGTGCCCATTAAGGCATGGCAAGGCTTCCCTAGCGGCCTCCATTTTTGATGTGCTCTTATACAGATGTGTGCCTCCATGGTGAACTCACTGGGAAAGCCTTACCTGGATGGGAACTATGTGCACGTTGTAGCACTTGGATGTTTTAAAAGGCCCTGGATCGAGCCATTTGTGTATTTCGTCTTGTGCCGAAATTGCATACTTTTATTTCCATGTTGTATTTTTTTGCAAATATGTTTGCTGTTTTATCAGTGTATCACCAGCCTTTCCAGAGCTATGTGGGTAATGACATATACAATCTTTTTTTACATTTTGGATGATAGATTTTGGGATTCTGTACTGATCAGTGTCACTTTTAAAGCCTTATTGACGACTTGTTCATTGTCCCCGTATATGCCTGATAATTATGTATTTGTAGAGTACGCACCAGTGGATTGTAAATAATAATAGAGGAGTGATAATTATTGTTAAGTGCTAACACTACAGTAGAAAAGAATAAAGCAATGACAGATTTTCTTTTTTAGTAGATACCTGTGTTGGTGTCATTTTGGGAAAATGAAGGTTGAATTGTGTCAAATATAATTTCTTACTCATGTTGTAGATTGGTCTCTGCTAAATGATCATGTGCTTTTAGGTTGTGATCTGAAAAGCTGCCTAGACTCATATAGGGGTCTTGGACATTTCCACCAATACGTGCAGCACATCCCATGCCACATCACAGACTGCATTTTAAATTCCACCTAAGTTCCAAAGCTTTCTCCTGCATTTTACTTTTTCCTGTTTTCTACCCCTTTTTTCCCTTTTATAATAAACTTTCTTTTTCAAATACATTTTTTGCTTAATTTCAGTTCAGTAAGTTTCTCTAAGATATTTTTCTTAATCTCTTCCCTATGTACTCGACTGCATGGATGCTACATGATTGTAGAATAGAAATTTATTTGTATTTAGCCATAGGCCATTACAAACCAAGGACAACAACAGAGAGGGATGTTATAAATATGAGTACTGATATGAAATAGAGTAAAATTTAAGCTATAATAAAACCATCAAATCAGAAAATAAACCGAAGATATAAGAGATTAATTGAATCCACTAAGATCAATATTAATTAGTTCCCATAAGAACAGCGTTGGCCCGTATTTTCTTTGTAGCCAAGGCATATAATGCCACTCTATAAGATATGTTGACATTGGAATCAGCTAACAAGAATGCAATCTTCTCAGTGCCTGAGTAGAAACGTAAGTCTGATAAAGTCCCAGAGAGGAATTTTAACCTAGGTTGGGCATGCATCGAGCATTCAAGAATGTAATGGGGAAGATCCTCAATAACAGATGAACCACAGATATAAAAACACTATAAAGGTAAAGGTTCCCTTGCTCGAAAGCAAGTCGAGTCTGAATCTAGGGTTGCGGTGCTCATCTCCGTTTCACGTGCCATCGCCCCAGGCCCAGACCATCAGTAAAGTGTCGACTCTCTGCCAAATAATTTTAAGTAAATGAAAGCATTTGGGATTGCTTTCCTTACTTTGTTTGTATCATCTTAAGTTAATGTATGAGTTGTTTTTTCTAAAGAAAAACCTCAGTATTCAGGTTAAATTGCCGTGTTGGGGAGGGGTGTGGCAAATTCAGGATGGGGCATCGCCCCTGTGGGTATGGGCCTAGCTGCTGGTTGTCTTAACCACTTGAGCCACCGCATAGATATAGTGGCCAGCTAATACGGCCGCTGGGACATGGATGCTACATAGTTTCCAGGGATTACACCTTATTTCTTTATTCATCTAGTACTGTACTAGAAGGAACCCTTAGTGGATCAGTCTAGAACAGTGATGGCGAACCTTTTAGAGACCGAGTGCCCAAACTGCGACCCAAAACCCATTTATTTATTGCAAAGTGCCAACACGGCAATTTAACCTGAATACTGAGGTTCTACTTTAGAAAAAACAACTTAAATTGCCGTGTTGGGGAGGGGTGTGGCAAATTCAGGATGGGGCATCGCCCCTGTGGGTATGGGCCTAGCTGCTGGTTGCTATAGGGTTGCCAAATCGAAAAAGCTTACCAGCGGGGGAGCATCCTGTAGCTCCGGGAGCCGGCTGGGGATGAAAACAGCTGCACCCGTGCCATAGGTTCGCCACCACTGGTCTAGAAGATGTTCTCAGGAGGATCTCCTGAGTGGTGGCAGCTGTTACCAGATTCTTTCCAAGAGACCCTTAGTCTAAGGGAGTTTCCCAGGAAGGACAGGCACCTCCCCCCCATCACAGTTTGTTCTGACCTGGATAGCTCCGACTAGCCTGACCTCCTCATGTCTCAGAAGCTAAGCAGAGTCAGCCCTGTTTAGTACTTGGATGGGAGGCCACCAAGGAAGGCCAGGGTTGCTACACATTGCTACACAGAGGCAGGGAATGGCAAACCGCATATGAATGTCTCTTGCCTTGAAAACCCCAAGGGGTCGCCAGAAGTCAGCTGCAACGTGATGGCAACAAAACAAGGTTTCAAAAGCAGATAACTGTGCAAAATTGGAAAGGACTTGGGTGCAATTCAAGAGGAGAGTCTAAATGCCCCTTCTAGCTTGGAGCTAGCAGGGCCATTCTTTAGACTGGCTTTGCATTTCAGTTGATTTTTTTTAACTGTATTGGTTTGATAAAAATGGGTGCTGCCTGAACCAGAAAGCCATCATTCATATGTAGTGTATTAAATATAAGTAAATGGAAATGTTCGATGGAATGTTCTAATTCTAAGAGGTAACTGGCTGGAGATGAAGGGGAAAAGTTTGCAAAGTAATTTTGATCACTTTAAATCTGTTTTATTGATAATTTCTCTTTTAGTGAGCTTTATCATTATTTGTGTAAGAATCACTCTTCCCAATAACCTTGTGAGATACCGATCTGGCAGTGATTTCCCCAAAGCCACTGACGGACCTTCAAATTTGAACTTGGTTTTAACTGTATCTTCTTTCAACATACCAGCTACTGTATAGTATTGGCCTTCTTTACTATGCAGTGCACAGACTGGTTGTTGAAACCTCAGAACCAGAAAGCCATCATTCATATGTAGTGTATTAAATATAAGTAAATGGAAATGTTCGATGGAATGTTCTAATTCTAAGAGGTAACTGGCTGGAGATGAAGGGGAAAAGTTTGTAAAGTAATTCTGATAA